CTCTTATACACATCTAGATGTGTATAAGAGACAGGTTGGTTGGTGGGTTGGTCGGTCGGTGGGTCGGTCGGTCGGTCGGTCGGTCGGTCGGTCGGTCGGTCGGTCGGTGGGTCGGGCGGGTGGGTCGGTCGGTGGGTCGGTGGCTGGGTCAGTCGGTGGGTGGGTCGGGTCGGTCGGTCGGTCGGTGGGTCGGTGGCTGGGTCAGTCGGTGGGTGGGTCGGGTCGGTTGGTCGGTCAGGTCATCGGGTCGGTCGGGTGGGTGGGTGGGTCGTCGGGTCATTGGGTGGGTGGGTGGGTGGGTCAGTCGGTGGTTGGGTCGGTCGGTGGGTCAGTCGGTGGGTCGGTCGGGCGGGCGGGCGGGCAGTTGGTCCGTTGTTTGGTCAGTCGGTCGGTCGGTCGGTTGGTCTCCCTCTCTCTCTCTGTGTTTATCTGCCTCTCTCTGTGTGTGTCTCTCTCTCTCTCTGTCTGTGTGTCTCTCTTGCTCTCTGTCACACACACACACACACACACAGAGGAGTATGCCTCCCCCTTTGCTCTGCCTCTGTTCATCACATGCAACTGGGCCCTTAAGGCACATGGGGATGTGGGCAACTGGCGTTCAACCACAATCAACGTGGCTGGCCTTGTACATGAGAGGCACAGTGAAAAGGGAGCTGCAATAACAAATGGAAGGGGCAGCCCAGGAAGCCAGAGTAAAGGAAGTCAAGGAAGAGATATGACTACCTTAGCTGCTTCTATATAGGCCGGACAGGATTCATCCCAGGTAGGTTTACATTGGAGAACGCCATGACTTTGTCTGAGTCAGTCAGATACATAAAAGATAAAAGAATGAACGCGGCCATCCTCTTCTTCGACTTCGAGAAGTCGTATGATCAGGTCAAGAGGAACTTTCAGCAGCAATGCATGGAAAAAATGGGAGTGGGTCTGTATTTCCGTTGCTGGGTCAGGATTCTTTTTATGTGCAGGGAAGCGTACAGCTCAACGGTTCCCTCTCGGACCCCTCTCGGACCCCTACAAAATGACTAGACCGGTGCGCCAAGGGGACCCATTGGCAGCCCCTCTCTTCGTTTTCACTATGGAGCCCATCGCCTCCTTTCTGAGGAGAGACCCCTCCATAGGTCGTCTAGTTGCCGAGAACCACCACACCCCACACAAGATGTTCCTCCCTACGACCATCCTTTTTGCCGATGACCTCATGATCCTCATCAGGGCATCAGTCTCCTCTTTTGAAGCCCTCACCAGAGCAATGCAGGTGTTCCCGATCGTGTGGGAAACGTGCATCAACTGCTCCAAGATGGTGGGCTGGTGGATTACGGAGCAGGATATCCCCAGCCCAGTGACCTTGCTGGTAGGGATGCAGTGGGAAAACGGGAGAGAATTGGTGAGATATCTGGGTATACAGACAAATGATGCTGGCCCCGCCCACTCCCAGGCACCTGTCATCCTGCCCAAAATGCTGGACAAGTTGTACTCCTGGTCGAGAGTTTATATGTCAGTGTTCAGGTGAGCCCTCGTGCTCAACTGTTGGGTTTTCTCAACGTTATGGTATGCGGGAACTCTGGAGCCCCAAGTCAACGCTGGGACCCACGCTGTGTAGAAGAGCGACCGCCTGTCTATAGACCAGTAGCCCAGCCAAGCAATCATTCATTGCTAAGGTGGCGTGGAAGTTCGTGGTACTCCCCAAAATCAAGGGAGGCCTGGGAATAATAGATCTGGAGATCCAGATCAAGGTCCTCCAGAGTCCAGACAAAGTGGATTCTGAAGCTCCTCATGCATCCACACCTGTCAGGGCACACACTCGGCCTGGACCGCATAAGAAGTTTGCGGAGATCTGCCACATCGCCCAACATGCAGGGCCAATTCTGGATTATGGCCAAATCTGGGCGGCTCGAGGAGCACCCAAGAAGACCGGGAAGGAAGACCGGGATAACCCCTGGCCCAGGGAGCACTCATACTGGACACACCTGATCAAGATATGGAGAGGGATTATACCGGCCAAGGTGAGGAGGCCAGGCACCGAGGAGGTACTGAGGCAGCCATTGTTCTGCAATCACTGGGTAACAGGGCTGCATTGGAAACCCTGGACCCTCACAGCAACCGAGATGGGGAGCATGGTTGGAGAAGGGAGTCTGGCAGATACAAAAACATTTGGGATGATTAACAAGGGAGGTGGAAGACATATGGGAAGCTGAGGGAGATCCTGAGTGGCTGCCACAATCTTCAGGCCGAGCTTAATGACATGCTTCTCTCCATCTCGCAGGAATGGGTGGCCAAACTAAGGAGGCCCGCCAAATGGGAGAGGGGGGATTGAGCCACAATGAAGGCAGAGGCAACACTGTCCACAGCCCTGGCCATCGTGTCACAGGCACAACCAGATAGGGAGTGCCTCCCTTTTGACATGGACGATATCAGAACCCAGGGGCAATGACGAGTCTGCTGGCCAAAAATAGTAAAGCGCAGCTGGCAATGAGAAGGGACCTGCTGCACAATATCAGACGGGTAGAAAACACGGACTGTACAATCTTCGGTCCCGCAGTGGAAATTCGAAACTTGGAGATTGATCCCGCTGAGTGTGCATGGAAGCTCCAGCGATGGCTGGCAATGGCAAGTCCGAGATCCAACATCCTGCTCACCACGAGAGTGGGGTAAAGACTGAGATTCAGATACAGTTGCCGTGCGGGACATAATTGTCCACTGGTGGGCGAAGTACACCGACACTGACCTTGCCGGCCTGCCAGACATCCCCTGGAAAATGGTACTGGAGATCAGGAACACGCGCATCAGAAGTATGCAATGGCTGATCACATACCTCGCACTGCCTGTCAACCGATGGCTGTGCGAGCGCAGAAGCGTGCGTCACAGATTCCACTTTGATGACCTTTGCGCCGTACGGGAGACAGGCCACGTGGAGGACATCACAAAGTGCCTGGTCGCATGTCCGAAGGTACGCCAAGAGTGGAACAGAGTAGCAGGCCTGTGGCCCGTGCTGACTGGTGTCTCCGTCCCGAGTAATCCGTTCTTCACCTTTACGGGATTTGCCGACATGTTGAGCATGGGGACGTATCAACCCGAGCTCTTCCAGAGACTGAGACCCCCGGCACTCTGGATAATATGGAAAGGAAGATGCCAGGAGGCGATCGAAAGGAAAGAGCAACCAATCCACCAAGCATGGGAGGAGCTCCTCCTGTGCCTAGAGGGCCAACTGGGCGATGGTCAGGAAGGAAATCGACAGAAACCTGGAGAAAGCACAGGACTTTCAGAACGAGTTCCATATCAAATCACTAGCAGCGGGTAGGATTGGCAAGGTTGAAAGAGGTGGGATCTGCTTTAGCTGGCCCTGTCAACAGGGAGGGCCCTCGGAACGGAGAACGACCAGGCTGACGATTCGCTGCACAGCCAACCAGTGTCCATTAGTTGCAGTTTGGAGTCAAACTAGAAAGGCAGGCGGAGCAGTGGTATATCCTCCTGTTTGGAAGCAATCAATGCCACTGGCTTGGGGACCTCCCGGCCTCAATGGGGAGGGGCTTCCAAGCGTGTACATGGATGTAAGGGATGCTGAACCCGGTTTCCAGCTTTGTAATAAACCTTATCTACTCTATCTAAAAACAGGAAAGCGATATAACGGATCTACATGTTGCTTGCTATAGAGGTAAAACTGTTTCACTGTTGAAATGGCTCATCTCAAGTATGATTCATTGTCTGCAATAGAGGTAAAGCTGCATTGATTTTGGATCTACTCATCTGTGTGGAACAGGGGCTGTTGTGGTGAAAAACGATAACACACACACAAGTCCACCAGTTTTCGCAGGGATATCGCTAACTTTGGGCGACATGGTGAGTCCTTATCCATCAGTTCAAATGCATCCTGGGCAGACTGTCGGGGTTCAACCTCCTGATGAGTCGGTGAAAGTCCGACGAAACAGTATGACACGGTCATGCTTCTCTTTGTGGAGTTGTGTATGGTGAGTATGACGATGCACACACACACACACACACACACACACACACACACACACACACACACACACACACACACACACACTGTTTAGACCAAATCTTGCAACAGCTAAACACTCTTACTTTGGATCAGCCCCCATCGTCACCTGCCCATAGAGAGGGAATGATGACTGCAGGAACCCAAGGAACTTGTTCAATTGCGTACGTACTTTGTGTCCTGAGGATTATGAAGGCATAGCCCATGCAAGTTCTTCTTTTCATACGTATGATGACAGTCAACATTGCACTCGTGTTTACGGCACCCTGACATGTCATGTCCAATTTGTAGACACGGGTCGAACAGCAATTCCTATACGATTGAGGTAGGTGTGCCTCTCTGTTCCTAGCATGCAGGAGCCACGTAACCTGTGACATTTGTCTACGCCGTGCCATTTGATGCAGCACCTGCAACTGCGAGAATTAGATGCGGTGCTTCCGCAGTCCGCACCCAAACCGGTCGTGCCTGGTCTGTAGGGGTGGCCACTTACCATAGGCAACTGATGCTCCTCAAGTCAAAATTCTCTGCAACCCAAACACTACTACCGTAGTCTCTTGTGCCATTCTAGTGTAGTCTGCTCCAGCGGTGAGTATTGAAAACCCTGTGAAGTTTATCTTTCCTCAGCTCTCTCTTTGCCTCTCCACTTCCATCCCCCTCCCCTTCTTCCTCTTCCCCCTCCTCTTCCCCTTCTCCCTCCCCCGCCCCCTTGCTTCTTATAGAACTCCACCCCCCACCCCTTCCCTTCCTCCCTCCCCCTGTGTTACTAGTAGGACATGCATATGAATGAGCATCATGAAAAAAAACAGACAAAATATAAGGTGAAGATCTGAGGGAAAATGAAGAGGAATATGCATCCCCCTTTACTCTGCCTTCTTTAATAGTGTGTGGGTCGTAATGCACACGGGAATGTGGGCAGCTCGCTCTCAACCACCATCAGCGTGGTGAGCCTTGCGAGTGAGAGACAGGGTAAAAGGGGAGCTGCAAGAAAACATATTTAAAAAATGGGTACACTAAAGAAAGCCAAGTAAAGATAGCTAAGAAAGGGATATAACGGATCTATTGTGCTTTATGTTGCTTGCTATAGAGGTAAAACTGTTTCATTGGTGGATTGGCTTATCTTCAGTGTGCTTAATTGTCTGCCATAGAGGTAAAGCTGCTTGGATTTTGGATCTACTCATGTTCGTGGAACACGGGCTGCTGTGGTGATAATCTACAACACACACATGTACGAAAGTCCGACGAAACAGTCCTTTTCATTGTGGAGTTGTGTATAGCGAACACGACAACACACGTGTACACTGTGAGGATGAGACAGGCAAAGTTATATTCTTCTGGCACTTGTTTGATATTGAAAACGGGTCCATGGGAAGTTGTGTATCCTTCTAGCTTTCCCTGGGTGCCCGGCCAGGCACCCCGGGCACTCCGCCTGGGTAGGGACCACGCCCGGGGCTCCCCGGGCACACAAAAAAACCACTGAGTTTTTTTTTTTTGCTCCCAGGCCTTGCTGCACTTTGGGAGTAGAGCCCAAATCCAGCCTCTTTTTT